GTGTATTTGGCATGCTTGGAAGAGGCACTGAGGGTTTAAGCGATATACAACCATGATAAAATAAGCCCATTTTTTGATAAAGTATGCTATTTAAAAGTCCAATACGTTGATTATGCCAGTCTGAAATCTTTTTCATCGCAGAAAATACCAGATCTGTATAATGTTTGTGCCAATTATAAGTATAAATCGTCAAATCGAAGCCGTCAATTGACATGGCTAAGAAACAAGAACGGTATAAAATGAGAGCCTGTGGGTTTGATTGGACATCATAATGTGGTATGGTGTACATCATTATATCGAGGAGACGAGTTTGTTGCGTCATTAAAGAACTTTTTCGTGAGTGAGGCATATTAGACTTTTCATTTGAGAGATCTTCAACAGAACTTCTACGTGAATGTGTACTATCACTCCCTAAACTGCTTCGACGATCTTCTTGAGACGATCTATATACACCATATTTTTTATTTAACTCTTTAAGACCAGCAATTAGTAAATATTGAGGCCTAACTGTCATAGCTTGTTCTGTTGCTGATACTGAATGATTTGGACGATATATTTCATAAATATTATCATTATTAATGATAGAAGGCGTGGGAGATGGGATGGCTCGTAAAATAACAGGAGTAAATACAACATGAATATCCGATAAAAGCTCGCGAACTTCTGCTAAGAAATCATCCATCATCCATGACGGCATATCAAGTCGTACTTGTAATGAATGTAACGCTGGATTTTCTAAATTGACTGATTTTTTTAAAAGTGCCATACAAGGCTCTATAAATACTTTTTGGACATGTGTATCAATGTATTGCGGAGAACATTCTCGATCCAAAGTATAATAATTTTCAGAAGATTGCGGAATATTGTATTCAACTTGATCTAAAATGCGGCCTAACCCTTGAGTAATTGAAATTTCTATGAAATAATCGCATAGGCATTGTTTAAAACTTGTTCTGATTCGTTCGAATAGTTTCTTATAATTAAGTTGACCTTGATTCCATAGGTCGATATGCAAACTGTATTCATAGTTAGTACTTTCATCTTTTTTCAAATCTGAGGTGATAATAACATCTTCCTCTGAGGTGATAATAACTTCTTCCTCTGAAATATAATCCAATATAGCCGCCATGTCCGTGTCATTCATAACATATTTATCAGACATAGGCAACTCAAATACAGGCCTGCCATCCCGATTTATTAAGGTTATACAAATTCCTGCAATTCCTTGACCAACTGATGACTCAAAAGTAGGATTGGCGGACCGAGGTTGAGTATTGTTGTTGTAGTAAAATGAAAATTCGTGAAGTTGAATATCATAAGATGAAATTGGAGATTTCCTATGTAATTTATGATTAATTTGTGATTAATTTGTGTTTGATACAGGGTACACAGTTCCAAAAATAAAATAAATAAGTAAAATAAATATCAACAACTACCTTCCATCATCAATATTAGAAATTTTGTTGCATGAAACACCATAAATCGTATTATGATGACGTTCGATTGCACTAGTAACCTCTGAGCCGCTAAAAACTTTAAGATAATGAGATAGATTCTGCTTAAAATATACCAGCAATGTATAGACATTTTTAATCGATGGCGGAATGGGTAAACAAAGACGTTTGGCTGGTTTCATAACTGGCAAAATGAAATCTACATCCTACACATCAAGTTATAAAAAATCAATCATGTTAATAATAAGGTATTAAATGTCGGGGATGATGCTGAAATCGGATGATGCTGAAATTTTGACTTATTTTATTATGAAAATGTAAAATTT